AGACTCCAACTCAACAACAACAACAAAAAAGATGTTTTTCTCAGCCCGGCGTGGTGGCTTACACCTATAATCTCAGCACTTTGGGAGGTGGAGGCGAGAGGATTGCTTGAGTCCGGGGGTTTGAGACCAGCCTGGGCAACATGGTAAGACCTCATTTTTAATAAATCAAAAAATTAGCCAGGCGTGGTGGCACGTGTCTGTGGTTCCAGCTACTTGGAAGGCTGAGGCAGAAGGATTGCCTGAGCCTGGTAGGTTGAGCCCAGCCTGGGTGATAGAGTGAGACTCCAACTCAAAAATAAAAATAAAAAAAAAGACCCTTTTCTCATGACAACAGGGATTGGGGGAGGGGACTCAGGTGGAGAATGCTGAGGGGTGCCTCGACTGAGAGGAGGGAGAGGTTCTGGAAGGCCCACAGGTGCTCCCACACATTGGGCCTGGCTGCTAGGACCCCAAGAGCCATCCAGGAGCGCCTCGCGAGCACCCTCTCGTCACTCCAGACATGCCAGTCACCCCCAGGTCTGGCAGTTATTGTTTCCATTTTACCAATGCAGAAACGGAGGCTCAGAGAGATGAGGTGACTTGCCCAAGGTCACACAGCGGCCACCTCACAGAGCCTGAATTCAGACTCGGGTCTGCCCGACAGCCCCATGCCCTGCTCACCCCTTCCTGGGCCTGACTCTGGGGGGACCAAGAGGAAGGCAGAGGAATCCGCCCACCCCCCAGCCTCCTCCTCCCTTCCTGCTGGCACCTGTGCTCTCCACCAAGGCGTACTCGGCCACATCTGTGGAGGTCACGACCTCAGCCACCTCCTCCAGCGGCGTGTCCTTGGCCAGCGTGGTGACAGCGCCGTTCATGAAGTGCTCCACAATCACGCGGTGGGAGCTGGAGCAGAGCAACACCCCCGTCACGTCCCGGAGGCAAGGTGGCAGAGCCCAGACCGGCAGGGCACGTGAGGGGAGCTTTACTGGAACCTGGGACCCTGGAATGAGTGACCCCGAGAACCCCACGGTGGGGAGGAGCCTGGCGATCACTCTTTGGGGGGCCCAGTGCTTCATTCCCATCCCACTGGCCTCCGTTTCCCCCAGACCACTTCCGCTTTGGTCTGCTTTATCCAGCAGCCTGGCCTGGAGAATTTCACCTGAAGAAAAGCTACATGGAAAAAAACAAAAAAACAGCCGGGCTCGGTGGCTCAACCTGTAATCCCGCGCCTTGGGAGGCTGAGGTGAGTGGATTGCCTGAGCCTGCGGGTTCGAGACCCGCCTGGGCAACTTGGCGAGACCTCATCTCTACAACAAATCAAAAATTAGCCGGGCGTGGTAGCGCGCGCCTGTAGTTCCAGCTACTTGGGAGGCTGAGGCAGAAGGATCGCCGGAGCCCAGCAGGTCGAGGCTGCGGTGGCTGGGAGTGGCCACTGCACTCCAGTCTGGGCGACTGAGTGAGACTCCAACTCAAAAAAAAAAAAAATACTTTAAAGGGTAAAAACTACAGGGGGAGGCTGGGCACAGTGGCTCACACCTGTAATCCCAGCACTTTGAGAGGCCGAGGTGAGAGGATCGCTTGAAGCCAGGAGTTCGAGATCAGCCTATGCAACATAATGAGACCTTATTGCTACCAAAAAAAAAAAAAAATTAAAAATAGCCGGGCTATGGTGATGCGTGCCTGTAGTCCCAGCTACTTGAGAGGCTGAGTTGGAGGGTCACTTGAGGTCAGGAGGTAGAGGCTGCAGTGAACCAGGATCATGCACTCACTCCTGCCTGGGCGACAGAGTGAGACCATGTCTCAAAACAAACAAAAAACGCTGGGTGCGGTGGCTCACGCCTGTAATTCCAGCACTTTGGAAGACTCAGGCGAGAGGATTGCCTGAATGCACAGGTTCAAGACTAGCCTGGGCAACACGGCAAGATCTTGTCTTAAAATAAGTAAAAAAAATTAGCTGGGCATGGTGGTACACGCCTATATTTCCAGCTACTTGAAAGGCTGAAGCAGAAGGGTCGCCTGAGCCCAGCAGGATGAGGCTGTGGTAGCCGAGACAGCCTGGGTGACAGAGACTCTGACTCAAAAAAAACCCCAAAACACCACCCATTTTAGAGATGGGGAAACTGAGGTCTGGAGCAAGATGGCAGCTTGTGCATGTTCGGAGCTGAGCCTTGGACCCGGGCACTCTCAGAGCCTCCCAGTCCTGTTTCTTGGGCTGGAAGCTGCTTTGGGCCCTAGCCCAGCGAGGACCTCAAAACCTGGTTCCCTTCTGGTTCCACTCCCAGCTCCCAAAGGCCCACAAGGATGGCAGGAATAGGGTGAGGGACCTCCTGGATCTGGTGACTCTCCATGTCACCTGGAGTGAGACACAGCACCTCTCTGAGCCCCAGTTTCCTCATCCAGTCAATGGGGTAACAATCATCCTCCCACTAAGAGACCAGCGGATGACCAGAAAGACAGGGAAGGCTGCGGAGGCCAAAGACTTGCCCAAGGTCACGCAGGGCCCCCTGGAGAGTGGAGACCGGAGGACAGCTGTGCTGCCATCAGTCCCTCCCTCCACCCCACGTCCAAGGTCAGCTGCAGTGGCATCCCATTTTGGAGGGGCCCTCCACCCCCAGCCCGCCCAGACCCCGCCATGCCGTCAGCAGCCTGAAGTGGGCACTGCTCACCCGATGTTGCGGCCCAGGATCCGTGGCAGGTATGGCAGCTTCTTGACGATGATGGTGCCGTCGTAGAAAGAGGGCTGGCAGTTCTGGGCGATGGCATTGGCGGCCAGCACCGCCATCAGCACGGGCAGTGCGTGCACGATCTGACCAGTCAGCTCAAAGGCCAGCAGGGCCGTGGAGATGGTGTGTGTCACTGCCCCCGAGAAGGCTGCAGCCCCTGCAGGTGTGGTGGCTCAGCCGGGGGCCAGCCTCACCCGGAGGGCAGGGCTGGCATAGCTGCATCTGAGACTGGAGTGGGAATTGTGCACGGGCCACACACTGACCACTGCTGGACGTGCCCTGGTGCCTGGGCTTGGTGAGAGGAGGAGGTGAGGGAGGCTTGGGGGACGCGGGACCAGACCGGACCTAAGAACAGTGGGGGGGCTCAGGGGTGGGGCGGTTCAGGGAGGGACAGCCTCTGTGAAGGTCGGGGCTCTCGGGGCAGCTCAGTGGCCCCTCCATGCCCTGCAGAACCACCAGCCGATTCTCCAGTCCAGCCCAGCCCCACAGTGTTTGTCCTCCCAGGGGGCCCCGACCCACTCACCTGCCAGGGCATACCCCCCAGGCATGATGGGATTGACGACCCCTCCGGCCACGATGCCTTCGGGGAAGGCGACAGAGAGGGCCTCCCCCAAGAGGCGCCCGATGGCGGCTCCTGGCCACAGACTCAGGGTGAAGGGGGGACCTGGGCTGACCCGGCCCCCACAGCCCTCCCTCCCTGGGACTGACCTCAATACCACCCCTGCCCCCACTAACTTCAAGCCTCAGTCCCTCAGGACCCCAGACTCACCAAAGATAAAAATGGGCATGAAGTATCCAGCAGGGATGGGGATGGTGGTGGCCAGGATCAGCATCCAGAACTGTGGGAGGGGAGTAGCCAGTGGGAGGGGAGTAGCCTAGAGGCTGCCAGGCTAGGCTGGACAAGGGAGGGAGGGGCCGGGACGGGGAGTTTCCTGGAGGGAAGGAAGGCATCCAGCGTGGGCCCATGCCCAGTGTCTGGCGTTGGGAAGGCATTGACTGGGGAGGGAGCCTCTCCTTGATAAGGTGCCTACTGTGTGCCTGGCACCATGCCAGGTATTTTTCTTCCTTCCCCTCAGCCTTCCTTTTTTTTTTTTTTTTT